CTTCGCCGACGACACGCATGGAGCCTGGGACATATATGAGCCAGCTGACCTTGATAGAGCCATCAGTCAACTTGCAACTGTAATTGGTACTTTTGAGGAAATGGGTATGGAGATGAATGATTCCAAGGCCAGAACGCCTACAAGGCCTTACTCGTAAGAAAGCACGATCACGTTGCACGAAGATGATACGAGATCAGCGTCATCTTTGTCTTGAGATTCAAGGACAGCTCCGACACATTCCGTTGGTTAGACAGGTGCAATATCTAGGAGCAATCATCTCTTATGATAACTACGAGAAGTTGACTGTTGAGTTTCGCATACATCAGGCACAAGTCAGATTCTGGCAATTACAAAAATTGCTCTGTGGAAAACATGGACTATCGGAGAAACACCGGTTACAGATGTGGAGGGTAACGATTTTCCCGTGTCTCTTATATGCCATCGACTTGCTAGAATTGACGTCGGCTCTTCTTCAACCGCTTCACACGTTTGCCATGAAGAATATTCGTGCCATCACACGTCAGCCGGTCCACCTTTCGAGAATCTCCGACGACGATTTGTTGAACAATCTCAGACTCCCTTCCGTGCTTGACACTCTGCAAGCCACTTGTAAACGAAATATTGCCACGGAGAGCCAAGCGCAATTTTATAAATCTCTCACATGGCTGAAAGACTGCCAACAAGCTCTATTTGAGATCCCCACAGGACTCACTGTGCTTCCTCGTCACATTGTGCCGCATGCTTGCCCAATATGTGGTGTTTACTTTGACAACCGGCGTGCGGTGAAGACACATATTATCAAGAAGCACACCTTGGCATCAGCGAACATTCAGTCAGAACAGCCACCTGATGAGCAGACATGCGCAGTGGTAGCGTCTTCCGTTGCTTCTTTAAGTCAAGCGGAAACATTGACAGAGATTGTTCCAACAGGTCCTTCTACGACAATGGCTGAGAATGAATCCAGCTCAGTTGTTGTCTCTCAGGCCAATATCTCTTTTGACAAAGCCATCCACTCCAAGAATGGATTGCCGACATGTGCAGCCTGCGATCTTGTGTTCACTCGATGGAGTGGACTTGTAAAGCATGTGACTCGCGGGTGTTGCGCAGTACTGTCACCTTTGACAGGTCCTGCTGATATCACTGTTCATCAACTTCGTGCATCTCATGCAAGTGTGGCAATCTGTGAACGTCCTGAAGTAAGACGCCTATTAACTAATGGAGTGCAGGCATTGCTGCAACAACAAGCTCTTCTCACCGAGATGCGACAGCATTGCGTATTGTGTCGACAGTGGATTGCAGACACGAAAATGAAGAAGAATCATTACAACAATTCCCACAAGTCATTTATGAGAGAGTACAAACTGACATGCTTGCAGTACATGCGATCTCATGGGGTGACTTCTCAGCCTTGTCCATTCTGTGGTTCGAACTTGTCTAACAAGGCCGAAGCTGCCAAGCATCAGCAGCTCAAGTGCACAGTGTTGTGGCAAATCAGTGTCCTCCTTGCTTGGTTACAAGGCCATACCGATGGAGCAAGTACCGACATCCGCACTTCATCAGATGGAGGAGTTCTTTGGCGAAGTCAGCATGACTGCCAGCAAACGACCAATGGAGGACGACTTCTCCAATCGAACCAAGCATCGACGTCCGGGACACAAAGGAGGCAAGGGTGCAGGCTCAAGCAACGGTTCAAAGGGCCACCACAAGGATACTACAAACTCCTCGCTGATGGAGACAGAAGACATGGAGGAGGCCGTTCGTCTGGCCTGTCGTCTTCTCCTGCAAAACACGGACTCCATACAGGTCCTTCGTCAGGACACGGCAATAGTCTGGTTTGCTCGAACATCCCAGCCGACGGTGATTCCAACGCTATTCGCAGCTGCCACGAAGTGGAAAGACGATGCCAACCGCGAGCAACCGAGTGCGGTGGACCGACTTCCGCTCAGGGAAGTTCTCTTCATGACGATGGTACACACCTTGCTCAAGGAGCTCAGGGAGGTCGAAAAGGACGAGGAGCTTCGCACAAAGTACCAGTTCTCGGGTTGGCTGGACAAGGAGTGTCGTTGGGTGTTTCAGAAGTGGGATCCGGATACCCGCACCCTACTCGTCGACGCGAACCATCGGTCAATCCCAATTCCCGACATGATTCAGAATGTGCAGGCCATCTTGGACCTCATCACTCATCACCATGTCCTGCATCGGTTCCACAGTACAAGGCGTCTGTCCCGGGACCTCCAGGGAATTGCAGTTCTCCTCATGGATGTATCCGTGAGAGAGACCCAAGGAACTCGCTTGTTCCAGCAACTCTTGAATCTTCAGAACAATGCAGTGTGGCAACTCATTGGGCTTCAGTACAAGCGCGAGGGTCTTCGTCGGTCGCCGCTGGCAGTGAAGCTCCAGGAGTGGGCATACGGATCCGCTCAGTGAATCCGAGGTCTTCGTCTCAGCACATGCTTCAAGATTTGCTTACACAAGCAATTTTGGCCAATACTGGAACATATTGCTATCTGAACTCCTGGATAAGATCTCTAGCTTGGGCCTCTGTCTGCTCGGAAATACGCTTGCATTGTCACACACATTTGGTGCAATTGTTCTTGGATCTTCTTTCAGGTGCTGAGCAACTGGATGAGGCTCAGGATTTGCCGTCATCAATTGTGATGAAATCTGTGCTGCGAGGCTGGCAACACAACAATCGACAGCATGATGTTTGTGAGTTTGCGCACCATGTTATCAACACGACAGGCATTGGGGATCTCTTTGGGATATGGCAAGCAAGGCAGCTCAGGGATGGGCTTGTTCATATCGCTGATACTGGGTATTGCTTATCCCTCACACCGGATGCCAGGTCTTGCTCTATACATGTGATGCCGAACAGATGGCAGGCAGATGCTACTTCGGGTGCATTTCGTGGCTTTCTTGTGCTACCTACAATGCTCATGGTGCAGGTGGGCAGATTTCGTCAGCCTCAAACGATCAAGCGAGTGACGCCTGAGAATCGCATCCGTAAGCTCTTTACTGTCATCAAGTATTTGCAAGATGAGATACAACTTCCTGTCTTTGTCGATGACACTTCACTGAGCTTGCGATATGTGAGTTACAGGCTGGTAGCAGGTATCGTTCATCATGGATCTCTGCCACAGAATGGACACTACACTTGCATTCTGAAAAGTTCTGACCATGTCAACATGTATTGCTGCGACGACCATGCTGTTCCTCAACCAATTTCCGATTTCGACGATATTGCTTGCAAGAACTTGTGTGCTTTAATTTACATATCAGCAGAGTGATGTGATGGGAAGGGCATTTCCATTTCGCTGCCGACTCAATGTCGTATGTTCCATAGTGTTTCAAGATGGCTTTGAAGCTGTCAGGGGGGGATTCAAGAGATTACTGCAAATTCAGTGTCTCTCACATGCATTACCGGCCATTCGTGGTGTCTTGTATGTGCCAACTCGTGCAGCAGTGTGGTAGGTTCTAAGTTCTTGTGATGTTGTACTTTCAACATGTGCTCCTGGAGCACCGGGCCCTCTGGGCTTGCACGTGTTACCGTCGCAGGGCGAACTAGCTGTTCTGTTCTCACACCGAGATGTTCAGATTTCGCTGCGTGCAAAGTGCAAAAAGTAGCCCAGGACCTGAGAGTAGGACGGCCGCACACGGAAGCCGTGCACGCGCCGCTCCTCCATCTCTTTACTTAAGCATGACCCGAAGGCCCCGCTTTGCCAGGTAGCTGAGCTCGCTGGCCCGCTGCACCGCCTCGCACAAGTAGCTCTGGACCTCCCGGGTCCGCGTGTCGTACCGCAGGGCCACGCGACGCGGCGTCGTCCAGCGGCGCTTCAGCAGCCCCAAGATCTCCTGCCCCTCCTCGTGCTCCTCCAGCTCATGCTCGAAGGCCAGGGGGATCTCCACGTCCTCGGACGCCAGCATCCACACGTCGTCTCGAAGCACTAGCAACAGCTCCATTTTTTTACATGAGATAGGCTCCTGAGTCCGCCGTGTTCCGGCCGGCGGCCACGTCCCGCGCCATGCGGCGCACGCCCGCTCGCTCGGCGGGGGCCCACCTCAGCTGGGGCATCCTCCGATTCACGGCGTCGGTCATGCGCCCCAGCTCGTCCGCGTAGCTCTCGCCCTCCTGGCGCTGCCGCCGGTTGGCCAGCCACTCGTTGAAGGCCCGGGCGTCGATGAGCTGCTGCTGCCGCTTGTAGAGCAGCGGGGTCAGGTTGTAGGAGGGGTATTGCTTGTGGAAGGCCCTCAACATGGCCGCCTCGTTGCGCCGCTCCGGAAAGGGCATCATTTACAGGATCAGAGATCCATCAGGAGCTCGTGGAAGCGGTCTGCGCGGGAGGTGGCCTCCGAGGGCGTCATACGGACGGGCCGCTCAGGCTCCGGGAGCTGCGCGGCAGGGGGCGCGGGGGCTCCGAAGGCTGTGCGGGCGCAGCCGTGGGAGGAGCCTTTACCACCGCCACGGTGGGCGGGGCGAGCCCGGCGGCCTGCCTCTTCGCTTCGGCTGCGGCGGCTCGGGAGCGGGAACCACCGCCGCCGCGGGCTGACTCGGGTTGCTCGGGCGCTGGCTCGGCAGGCTCGGCAGGCTCGGCCACCAGGGGCTTTGCTGGCTGCGCGGCAGGCTCGGCGGCCACAAGAGCGGGTGCATCCTGCTCAGCCATTAATAAAAGATTTTTTTATCGGTCGGCTACTTTTCGGTGTCGAGGAAAACCACGAAGGAAACGCTGGTGCCCCTGGTGTTCACGACGTTGCCCTGGTAGTCGGTGAGCTTGAAGCGGAGGTGGCGCAGCGTGATGGGCGCTCAATCTTTCGCACGATTTCCGGAATACTTGGCGTTTTCACGGTTAATTTAGCAACTGCGATCGGAATATAGCTTGTAATTTCAGGCAAAATTTCTTTGCCAACAATCTTAAGGGCTACGAGGGCAGCAACTCCAGGGATCAGCTCTACTCGCTCCCGCCCGCGCTCTGCGACGAGATTGCCGGGAGCGTCAGTTAAAAATGTGCTGCGGGCTCTTCGAGTGCTACCGCGAAAGAATGGGCAAGGTGCGTCTCTTCAAGACGCCCGACTACACCGTCAAGCAGCCGCCCGATGCGGTGGTCTGCAAACCCCCCGCCAACGGGATCCTGTGTGCACCCTCGGCCAGCGGGAAGACCGTTCTCCTCGTCTCGATGATTTTGGAGCAGTACCAGGGCTGCTTTGAGCGCATCTACATCTTCTCGCCCTCGGTGGAGGTCGACTCCGCCTGGCAGCCCGTGAAGGACTACATCAGGGACGAGCTGGGCGTGAACACGGACCGGGAGCAGTGCTGGTGGGAGGACTGGGACGAGGGGGCGCTTCGGAAGATCATCTCGGACCAGAAGCGCATCACGCAGAAGAGCAAGGAGCTGGGCCTCAAAAAGCTCTACCAGGTTCTGGTGGTCCTCGATGACCACGCCGATAACCCCGCGGTCCACCGCAAGACCGGGGACGGCGTGCTGGACACGCTCTTCATCCGCGGCCGACACTTCTGCATCAACACCTGGGTGAGCACCCAGAAGCTGCGGCTCATGAGCTCCGCCGTGCGGGTCAACGTGATGTTTTACTGCGTCTTCCGCCTGCGGAACCAGCTGGGCTGGACGCCCTGGTGGAGGAGCTGAGCGCCATGCTCCCGAAGGAGACCCTCTACGCCATGTACGAGGAGGCCACGCGCGAGCCCTATTCGTTTTGGATGGTGAACCTCCGCGCGCCCAAGGAAGACATGTTTTGGGTCCGATTCGACCGGAAGTTCATCGTAAACGGCGATGGGCAGCCTGCTGAGCCAGATGGCGGCCAAGCTGCTTGGGGGGAGGGCCCCTGTGCGAGACCGAGTGCAACAACCTTAGGTGCTGCACGACCACCCAGGGAGTCTACGACCCGAGCCGCTACTGGCCACCGCCCCAGCAGCCCCGGCAGGTCTCGGACGAGAGTCGGCCACCAGTGAGTTCTCGGCGCGGCGCACGGGGATTTTCAGGCGCCGTTATAGAAAGCCGCAAATGACCTCCATCTACGTGGACTCGCGCCTCCGCGTGCAGGGCACGGACTCCGACTTCTCCTTTGACATTGGTGAGAGCGTGCACATCCAGAGCGGGGCCAAGCTGGCCGTCTACAAGGTGCGCATCGCCGACGCCTTCCTGAGCACGGACCGCGGGACGTTTCTGTACTGGGAAGACGAGGTCGCCGGCACCCTGCACTACGTCACTACGCGGAGCTCCCCGTGGGCGCGTACACGGGCCCTCGGCTGGCCGCGTGGATCAGCAGCAACTTTGCCGCGGCCACGTACACCGCTGAGACAAACGAGCTGGACGTCACCTACGATGGCGTGCGCCTCATCTTGAACGACGCCGAGCTCCGGCAGCGCTTCCCGGGCACGCTCCTATCCGCCGGGCGCCTCGCCCAGCAAGCCCCTGTCCATCAACCACCTGCTCCAGCTACCTCACGGGCTCCGTGCAGCGCTTCGTGTTCGTCCAGATGAATGTGTACAGTGAATTGTATCTTAGGTGCCCGTCGCTGGCCAACGGCGAGACGACGGTGGGCCCGCTGAACAAGCGTACGAAGTTGCTGAATAGTCTTGATTCCGATGTACATGCTGGCGGATTACAAATCCAAGAAGCTGATTTGGTGATGGTTTTGCTGCGAAGTTGGTCTAAAGCCCCTGGCGCAAAGCTTCAACCGTTTTAGGGATCCCAACAAGGGAAAGGGCAACGAAGAAAAAGGAAAAGGCAAAGGAAAGGAACAGAAAGGCAAGCGTGAGTCCAGCAAAGGTGCTGGAAAACTTAAAACCGAACAAGAAATACGTGGAGTGCCATTGTGTGTGTCACGGAAAGGGACATTATGCCCGCGATTGTTGGTACATCGCAGCGGTCACCCTTCCTGCAAACGCCGCGGGAGGGCGTCCAGGGCAGGTTGCCCCAGATCCTCGTGGGCTTCCTGTACGGGTAGCCGAACTTGCAGTAGGTGACGTCGTGGCAGGGCAACCCGGCCATGTACTCGCGCGTCTTCAGCAGCCCCGTGGCCGGGTTCTCGAGGGCCCACCACCTGGGCCTCAGGTAGTCGATGATCTCCAGCGCCTTGAGGACCATTGCGTCGCCGGCCGGCAGGTTGCGGGGGCGGTGCCTCAGGGCCATGGAGAACTCGGTGCACACGGGGCTCGCCCACACTGCATCGAAGTGGCCCGGCTTGAAGGCCTCCCTGTACTGCCAAGCGAGGATGTCGCAGCAGATGGTCGGGCGGGCCTTGGGGTTCAGATCGAGGCTCGTGACCTCCCAGCCACGGGAGCGGAAGGCGCGGCCCACGGAACCCGTGCCCGAGAAGAGCTCGAGCAGCCGCATTTTCTACGGCCGCGGTTCCTCCCACGGTCTCGCGAGGAGCCACAGCACGGCGACGCCGCTGGCCAGCGTCAGCGAGACGCACAGAAACTCCCCGAAGCTCAGGGGGCTGGCGCGTTCACAGGGCGGCATTTTTTGGGAATAAAACAGGAGCCATGCCGACCGAGGTCCTTCCGATCCAGCTGGGCAACATCCTGACCAACTCCAAGGGAGGGAAGTACATCCCGCTTCGAGGGGAGGGCAGCGATGCGCCGACGTGGAAGAGCAACTGGCTCAAGGTGATCTGGAACCCTTCCAGCTACGGCGACCCCGAGGCGGTGCGCGTGTCCATGTGCCTGGAACCCGACGAGGCGGCCCGGTTCTTCTTCGGCCAAATGGAGGCGCAGATGGCCAAGGCGCTGTCAGAGCACTCTCAGCGCGACTCCCCGCATCTTCGGCAAGCCCCTGCAGGAGCGGATGGCCAGCGCGCTCAATATCAGCACCAAGGAAACGGACGAGGTCACGGATGTGATGCTGCAGCACTGCGAGCCGCCGGAGCCGCAGTGCCCGTTCTAAACGCGTTCGCCCGACCGCCGCCGCCGAGGGGCTGGTAATAAATCATGTCTTGGGCACAGCAGCGCGAGAGAATCCGGCGGGCCGTGGAGGCGGGCGTCTCCGCGCGCACCTCGCCGCAGGGCTCGGAGCTCCTTCGTCTCCCCAACGCCCAGCAGCTGCTGCTCGCCCGGCCGGACGGGCAGCCTACCCGCGCCGGGCAGTTCTACTACCAGCTGGTCGGGCGGCGCCCGCCCTCCCGGCGCTTCAACGAGGCGCAGCTGCTCGTGCGCGACGGCCCGAATGACAACATTCTCTGCGCCAAGAAGCTGGTGCGCAGCCTACAGCCCGACGGCAACTACCGCGTATCTTGTGTTTACTCAAGGATGTTTTTATTTTACTTCAACTGAGCTGTCACCTTGCTTGCGTATCAGCCATCGGCCCAAAGTGAAGAGACTCATGTCTGGACACATGACATGCTTCGCATGCGTGAGCAATTTTGTGATGCGCTGGGTGTCCAGTTCAAAGCAATGTTCAGGCGTTTGCCGAGCAAAACTGTCCTTTGGGTCATGTGGTTCTCCCTTCTTCCGATCACTTTTAGGTTGGGGGGGGGGTAGATTGCAGTTCCTCGCTCATCGCGGGAAGAGCCTAGAGACCCCACAGGGGGCGCATGGGCAGCGTGCCTACCGAGGACTCTCTCACTCCAGCGGAGGAAGCATATAGGACCCAGCTACGGGTGGTTTTTGATCTCTGGGGTCAAGTTGGTGCCATTAGTCAGCAGCTTAGTTCCTTTCAAGAAGAAAGCCTGGTTTTCTCTGAGCAGTTTGCTGCTTTAACCCAGCGTGTGCAACTTTTGCAAGGTCTGCTGTTGCATCTTTTGCTGCATTCCTTGCGGTCACATCATTTTCTGCAGGAACTTGATTGACATGTCGCAAACCAGCCCTGCCGCATGCACGGGCGCCACTTCTCCGTCAGGTGAAGATCCACTGCTGTCCGAAGCTTCAGATTTCCCCTCCTGGAGTTTGTGCCAGTCTCCAGAGAATGTTTCTGGGTTCGGTTCGAGGGAAGCTCAGAGGTCGCACTCCCCGCCTTCGCCTGTCCCTTGTGGTTTTGTGGTGAAGCGTTATCGCAAGAATCCTTTGCCCATTGCAGATTCCCCTCCTGAGCCTCCTCCACAGCCTGCTTTCTTGAGACCTAGTGCCAAGCCCGCACCCGCCCCGCGCGGTCCGTTCCGGTTAAGTGATAGTTCACGTAGACCTGTGTGCGTGCTGCTTCAGCCATGTCCTGCCCCTCGGCCTGGACCTCAGCCTCGGTTCACTGCACGGGTTCTGCCATCATCCCCCCTGTTTCGGCCTGTTCCGCGTCGTGCTTCAGAGTATAGCAAGCCCATTCCTTCGGCAGCATCTCAGCCAAATCCGGTCCGTGCGCATTGCGGGTCCACTGCAGGTCCACCTTCTGCAACTCCCACTGCATCGCAACCCACTGTCACTGCCTATCGCTTTCAGGAGATGCCGATGCGGAAGCGATCGCAGGGTCCGTCAGGTTTTGTCACCCAGAAGGACGTTCACTCTGAGACACGTGCGAAGGCCTTGCAACTTTTGGCAGAACATGCGGTCTGTTTTGCTTCCGCTCTCTTCAGTTTTGCAAGAGCTTTCAGGTTCTTCCCACCCAGAGAGTTTGGAGGACAGGTTGCTGAGCGGGGTGTCTGAGACCACTTTACTTCGCTATCTTCAAGGTTTCAGGGGCTTTTTGCATGCGCTACACACCCTTGATCGAGCCTTGGATTCCTCTCTTCGCCAAGTGGACATTGCAGATGCACTCTTAACAATGCACAACATGGGCACTCATGTGCTTAATGGCCTCAAGTCCTTGCGTTGGGCCCAGAAGACGTTGCTTTTGTCCCTCCCGGATTTATACCAGGGGCTCATGCACTCAGTGTCCTACAGGGTTGAGAGTGATAGGAAGGAGGCATTCCCTCTGCCCCTTTTTGTCTTGGCTGCCTTAGAAAGGCAATTGCTACTGGATATGGGCTCTCCTGCTCGCCGCCTTTTCATTGGGGCAGTTTTGACTTCTTGTTGGAGCAGCCTTCGCCTCAGCGATTCTCAGCACGTTTCATGGAGCTCCATACAGGCAGGTTCTTGGTGCACACGAGGCACATCTTATCGCACCAAAGTCAGCAGGCAGGGGGTCCCTTTTGGTCTCCTTAACGAGGGTTTTTATAGTGCCGGCCGGAGTTTTGCGTGCACTTGGGTTGCACGCTATCTTCGCCTCCTGGGTGAGGAGTGGGACGCCTTAGAGGCGAGTTTTGGCTCTGTCACTCCAGATTGCCTCTTCTTCTCGTCTGCGGCAGGCGAGTTCCAGCCTCTCACGTATGGCGAGGTCCTCAACCAGTTGCGTGGTCTCCTGATTTCCATTGGTTTGAGTACCGAGGAGGCCGGCACCTTTACAGTTCACTCGATGAAGGTTTGCCTTCTCTCCGTCATGGCGCAACGTGGTTTCCGAGTCTCCCGCCGGGGGCATCATAAGTCCTCCTCTCACAGTGCCAAGCTTTACAGTCGCGACGATGTGTGGCCTGCTTTGGCAGCCCAAAAGTCCTTAATGCGCAGCATCTCTCAGGGATGGTGGCCGTCCACCCCTCTGGCCCGCGGAGGTCGTCATCCGGTTCCGCAGCGTGCCATAGCACACCTTTCCGTGGACATTCAGCCAATAGCACCTCACCCCCGCTTTCCAGTTCTGGACGCCTCTTTGCACTCTGTCCCCGA